GACCTTTGAAATTTCAGTTCTTATTCCCACTTTAAAGTCAATGCCTTAGGGGCCAGCAGGTGGCATAGTAGTTAAGGGCTCTGGACTCCCACATGACTGACCACAGTTCAAGTCCTGGACCTAACAGCCTACTTTCCCCCTCTCCATCTCTCTCTCTTGCCCATCTGTGTGTGTGTGTGTGTGTGTGTGTGTATATATATATATATAGAGAGAGAGAGAGTTAAATAAAATAATTATTCTTTAAAAATCAGTGCCTAAAAGAACCAATGATGACAGGTCTCACCCAATTCACGTCACAGTACAAATGGCAGTGCTATATCTTTAAGTCAGAACTATCCCCAGCTGCTCCCACACTGTAAGCCTCATCACCTCACCCAAGTACGCCTTTGTTAAATACATTTCCTTCCTCATGAATATTGACATACTCCTTCTTAGTAGATTTAAATAGAGCTTAAATTATTATTAATAAAAGATTGCTTCTAATTGGTGAGAATCAGAGAGAGAATAGTATATTTTTCAGGATGGTTAATGATGTTAATATGAAAATTGATATAATAAAGTTGGTTCATTTGATAGTTACTTAGGATAACTTGTGATTCTTTTTTAATTTGCACTTTCTAGGTATGTGAAAGCCAGAACAGAACTAACATGGGATTATGGTTATGAAGCTGGGACTATGCCTGAGAAGGAGATCCTCTGCCAATGTGGAGTTAACAAGTGTAGAAAAAAAATATTATAACTATGTAACTAATGCCTGCTGATAAAATGACCTTATTAGGCTAAAATTAGAGCCATGTAAAAGAACTCTTTAAGCCATCAGTGGAATTAATTTTAGGTTGAGGTTTGTCCAGATAATTTCTCTGAGCTTACCCTTCCTTGTCAAGGGGTTCATACTTTATTTTCTAATTTTACTTGTGTGATTTAGAAATGCCAGGAACAAAACAAGGACATTTTCGTATGCATAGGGTATCTCTTATTCTTACTGCTGTTCAATTTTACAAGAGTTAGATGGAAGTGTATATTTTATATGAAATACCACTGCATAATTTATAGCTTATTTGTAAATTATATATTAAGAGAAACAAGGTCACAATAGAATTCAGTCACTTGTAATTACTTTGGTGACACCTTGTAGTTCATGTCCTAAAGGGCAAATTTTGCATCTTTAACCTGCAAAACTGAAAAGTGTAATTTTTGGCAAGCCATTTACTATTTTGAGCTACAATGTGGGTGATAGAGGCTGAGGAATATGTAAGAACTAATGTTATGCATGTTGTTCCCAAGTATTTTTAACACTTGTTAGAGAAGCTATATCTGGCTCTTTGAAACACTGTCCCATCAGCCATTTGAGAGTGAAAAGCAGAAGCTCTTCGGTATGTAATGTTCTGGCAGACTTGTTGAGATGAATCTTCCTTTACACACATTTCCTCACTCCTTGAACACAAACAGAAGAGGAGGGAATAGAAACCTGAAGGGACTTAAATTTTGTTCTTATTCGAGACAGAGTAGAGCCATAGAAAAAGAAACCTAGAAAGTAGTCGTATTTGGCTTATTTAGGCCAGAAGGAATTCTTAGGCAAGGATTTCACAACAGAAAACAAAAACTTCTTAGCTGCAAAGTCTGAAACAGCTTCTTGGTATCTCCTGGGCATGATTTGCAAATTGTTTTTCTAGAGAAAAAGGGAGCATTATTTGAGTGTTGGATTACCATCATCTGGTCATCTACTAGAGGATTAGAATGAATCAAAATTCATTTTATCCCTAAGAAAAATATGCACTTGGCTACCAGGAACATCCCCTTGGAGCCAGGATGAGAATACCAATACTATACATGAAAAGGAATAATTAAAAGTAACTGATTTGGGCCTGACTTAATTTTTTAACAATATTGAACTAAGTAAAATTTTAACTTGAGCTTTGTTTTAGAGAATGAGATTTGGGGCCAGCTATGTGACCTAGTGGTTAGAACAACTGGTTCCCACATGGCTGGCCAGACGTGTGTGTATACATGCCCCAAATCCTGACAGGATGGAGAAATGGAAGAAAAACCATTGAGGCATGACCATGCCCCATGGAATTGCTTTCTTCTTTGTCTGTCTGTCTGTCTGTCTGTCTGTCTTTGTCTGGTGATTGCACATACTGTCTGGCAAAAATTTTTTTAAAAAGAAAAAAAAAAAGGGAAACCAAACAACCAAAAAAAAGGAGCAAATAATATAATCTTACAGCCCACACACAGATAAAGGAAGTTGAGAAGTCCCTTTATTCACAGTAAAGATGTAGGAAATTTAGGCAATGAACTAAAAGTAAAGAAATTTATCGTTTTTTTTCCTCTTGGAGAAATTTCTTCTAAAATTTCGTCTATTTTATTCTGGTCGGGTGCAGTTATCAGTCTTCATCAGTACCGGAGAGATGCCCTTTGTCCCTCATGTCAGATCCGTTTCCATGTGGAGCCCATTATTTCCCTTTTCTTTGGTTTACTCCCATATATGTAAAACACATCTTCCAATAGCTTTTGAAAATAAGAACTGGGAAGTGTTTGGAGACTGAGTGTTTGAAATGTCTTTTACTCTTGTACTTGATTGCTGTTTTGGCAGAGTATAAAATCATTTGTAGCCTCCATGAGCAACTTTGAAGGATCTGCTAGCTTTGGGTGTTGCCCTTGTAAAGTCTGATAATATTCAGACTTTAAGCTTCCAGGATGACTATTGGAACTTGGATGCCATTCTATTCCTTATCTTTTATGTATATGTGATATAATCCCCTTTTCTTCCGAAGTTTATAAGATTATCTTATTTTTTTTTAATGTTTTTATTTTCCCTGGTAGAGGGTTCATTTTCATTCCTTGTACCGAATGCCTGGTAGGATCTTTTAACCTGAAAACTTTGTCTTTTAATTGAGGGAAAATTCTTTTTTATTATATTTGTATTTTTTTTATTGCTAGAAGGTATGTGCACTAACCAGAGGACTGCACTCCTTGTGACATGGTGGCACCACAGTCCTTTTTTCTCCATCTCTTCCTCCCATCTCTTTTTTCTCCATCTCTTCCTCTTAAACATGCATGCACACAACACCTGGCTTATTTTTCAAACCACTGGGGATAGGGTTTGAACTGTTCTTGACCATGTGGGATCTGGTTTTCTATGCATAGCACTTGACTTCTGCACTACGGGCCCGAGGAGAATTTTCTTGAATTTTTTTTTTTGGAGAGGTTTTGCTATAGGGCATGTGCGCTCACTGGAAAGACAGAGACCCAAAGCGAGAAATCACCCCCCAGGGGGGATGGCTACACTGCAGTCCCTTCCCCCCGCTCTCTGGGATTTGGGGCACACATGCCCACTTTCCAAACGTGAGTTTTAAGGCAGCGGGTCCAGGACTTGAACTGCAGTCAACTACATAGGAGTCTAGCAACATAACCATATTACGCCATCTGCTGGTTCCCGAACTATTTTCTTAATGATTTCTCATCAGTTTTCTCTTTCTGGAATTCATTTATCCAAAGTTAGACCTCCAGAATTGATTCTCTGAATTTATTACCTTTTCATTTCTTTTAGGTCGTCAGAAAAGTCATGACATTTTTTTCAGTTTTTCTGTGCCAAAGGCGTCATGACTCTTCTAGTGACCCAGTAGTTCGTCTGTATTCTATCTATTTTCTGGTCCTTTTTCTCCAAACTTATTTTTCCAGTCTCATATTTTTAATTTCTAAGAGTGCTCTTTTTTTCTCAGAATATTCTTATCTTCAGCAGCATCCTATTGTATTTGAACTCTTTGATATTATTTATATATGTGTGTGGTACACACATACTCATTACTACCTGCATACTCTGTGCCCTCACAGTTTTGTCTTTGTTTTCCCTGTGGATTTGCTTTGGGGAAACAAGGTTTTTAGCTGCTTTACTGTGACCTGCCTGAGCTAGTCTGCTGGGGAACCCCCAGTATCAGGCTCTTTAGGGCTTTCTTTTTGGCCTGGCAGGGAATACCCTTCCATCCTTCTGGCCTGGAGGGCAGAAAACTGTCCTGGACTGCTTGTTTCCCGTTTTGCAGCCCCCACAATCTTGCTTCTGTAATTCACTTTGTATTTGTCAAAGAACTACCCAAGTTGCTCTTTTTAATGTTTCTTCCGTCCGCATTTTACATTTTCCCTCTCCTTAGGATCTGTTCCAAGTGCAATACCTCCAGAAGTTTTCCTTTCATTAATTCCTTAGAAAACTACCATTAGATGCCTCTCTTCCAGGCCAACTTGTTTTTAAGCATTTTTTAATTATACATTTAGTTATACATTTATGTTGTCTACTGTGTATTTGCTACGTCCACTAAAAAACTTGTATGGTGCTCTGTACCCCATGGGTGCTAAATAAAAGCTTAACTACTACTGGCAAGTGGATTTGGGGTCGGTTAATTCAGCGTCGGTTTAAGATACGCCTGCTTAGGCCTAAGCGGAGCCCAGGGGCCTGGGGGCGGGGCGGGGGCGCCTGGCGTTTCGGTGTTTAAGACTTCTCGCGAGGGTGATCAGGAGGGGTGTGAGAAGACCCCGACCGGCACACCCGCGCCCGGCCGGACGTCCCGGGCTCGGCGGCCAGGGGCAGCAAACCTCAGGAAAGAGAAACTTGGGGCTGCCGGGCACTTCCGGGGCGTGCAGCCGGCGGGCCCCCGCCCTCCGCGCAGCCATGGCCCAGGCGTCGGTGCTCGGCGCCGGTGGCCGCGAGCCCCAGCCCTTGCAGCACTCGACCCCTCAGCCCACCGGTGAGTACTGCGAGGGGAGCGGGGCAGCCACAGCCACTGGCCGAGGGCCTTGCTGTCCGTGCGCAGCCGCTTGGGGACCCTGAACTGGTCGGGCTCCGCGCTGGACGTCCCCGCGGCAGTGCCCCGAGGGACGGTGCAGACCTGGGGCCAATTCGGCAGGTGCTCCGACTGCCCAGGGCTTCGCGGGAGAGGCGGGCACGGTTTCCGTTTACCTCCCGCTGGGGACGAGGCCGCGCGGTTCTCCCGGCCCCACCCTATTGGAACGACCGGCGCCCGGGGCGACCGACCTGAACTGCCCCTAAAACCGTGCTCTAGAGCTGCCTTCTAGAGGCAGGAGGAGGCCCTCGGAGACGTGGCGGCTGGGAAGCTTTTATGGAGGATGTGACCCGAGCCCATCCGTTCAGTATTCCCAGTCCTCCTTCGCCTTCCAGCCCAGCGGTCGGTCCCCTTTCCTTCGCTTAGACTTGGGTAGAGCCCCTGCCATGGGCGGGCCAGATGAGTTAGGATGAGTTAGGCTGACCCTGCCCTGGAGAATCGACTAGCTAACGTTAGAGTGAGGTGGTCAGAACCACAAACGAGGTTCAGGAACAAACGAGGAATTCCTCCAGGTGAGGGACAGCTTTTTGGAAGAGGCAATGCCGACCTTAGTTTTAAAGGGTAAGAGTTAGCCAGGTTGAAAGGGTGTTCCAGGCAGAGATGCTCCAGCAAAGACTTAACCAAGGCAGAGCCAAAGGTCGAAAGGGTGTTCTGGGCAGAGATGCTCCAGCAATGACTTACCAAGCCAGAAACATGTGGCAACCACAAGCCAACCCTTGAATATTTCATTCAACTAGTTCCTACATTACTTGCAAGATGAGTCACAAGAGAGGAGGTTCCATTCTGACCTCTGCTGCAAACTAGTCTGGTATACTCAACTTCTCTCGTGGCTGGAATGATCTCAAACTGAAGTACGCACCAAAGAGAGCTCTTTTTCAGAAACACCCATATACTCCAGATCTGCTCAGCCACCAACCTTCCTTGGTCCAGTCACTCTCACTCAGACCAAAATCCTTGACAGCATCCCCAAGGCCTCTCTTTCCTCCCACACCCCATCTACAGGATCAGTCAGGCAAGTCAGTTCTGTCTTCAGAATGTTCTCTCAGGCCAGATTGCTTCTCAATACCTCCCTAACCGCCATCATAGCCCAGGCCACCATCATCTCCTGCCCGGAGACTGCTGTTGTGGATTCTAACCTTGCCTCTCATACAGACAACCCTGCACAGCACCCAAAATAGTGTTTTAAAACCAAGAACAAATGCAGTTCTATTCAGAACCCTCCAGTAGTTTCCTGTTACTCTCAGAACATTGCCTTACCCTGGCCTACACTTCACTCACATCCTCATCTGATTGACTCCTGCCCAAGCTAAAGACTGCCCCCCTATAATGCTTAGGTGGTCCTTGAAGCCACCAAACCTGTCCATGACTCGGATCTTTCCATTTCTATTCCCTCTGCAAGGAAAACTCATCCCCATGTCATCCCAGTTTTATTTCCCCACCATATTCACGTCTCTGCCCATATGTATCCTCCCTCGGCCTGTCTATCCTCTCTAAGAGAATACCTCATTCCTTGACTCCTAACTATTCTCTACCTCCTTCTCTTCTTTCTCTTTATAACACTTATCAACTCAGAAAAAAAAAAAAGAGTTTGATATCCATAGAATGTAAGTTCTATAAGAGTTGAGACTTATTTCCCTCTCTATCCTTAGTACCTAGAGTGGTTTGCCTGGGAACAGTATAGGCCAGGTACACACTCATTGAATATTAAAGGAATGAGTGGGCTTTTATATAACACTAATGTCCTTGGCTTTTTTGTAGGTGGTGGGAAAAGGTGGGCAGATTACATTTCAAACTTGTTTTTTAGGAGATGGTTTTGCCAGGTTCCCTGGGCTGACTTCAGGTTCAGAGTCCTCCTGCCTTAGCCTCCTGAGTAGAGCTGGGACTAGGGGCGCACAACACGTGCCCACTTAGATGTACATTTCAGGTAGAACACTCTGGCAGGACAGTAAAGAATGGAGGAGAAGCCAAGGCAAGGGCGTAATATCCTCAGTCTAGATCCAGTGAAGGACACTGAGCGTGGGACAGGCTATCATCCACACTACTATCAGAACTTTCTCTTTTTGTCTCTCTCTCTCTGTCTTTTTTTTTTTTTTTTTTTTTTTAAGGATAGCCATACCACAGTCCCTTCGCCTCAAGTCTCCTTGGGATTTGGAGCATGCATGCATATGCGCCCGGTGTGATTTTTCAAACCACTGGGTCCAGGACTTGAACTGCACAGTCAACCATGTAGGATCCATCACCTTAACCTCTATGCTACCTGTTGGCCCCTAAAAGGCATTTTTATTTTGTTTTCTTTGATTTGATTTTGAGAGAGAGAGAGAGAGAAACAGGCAACCTCAGCAAGCTTATGCTGTGATGTCTCCTTCCTCAGCCTTCCAGCCAGCCAGAGTCATGTGTGCACTTGTGCACCTGTGTTTCAGGTACCCGTGAGATCTCAGCCACACTCTTCTGTGTGGCTCCAGCACTGCAGGACAGCACCCTCCTGCCTGTGCCACTGTGGCTGACCCACACAAATTTCCACATACTCATACATACACGTACGAGTGTGCCCATACAGAGATGTCATACATACACGTACGAGTGTGCCCCTACAGAGATGTCATACATACACGTACGAGTGTGCCCATACAGAGATGTCAGGACTTGGCGGTATTCATCAGGACTTGGCAGCTACAAGTCATACAAAAGCAATTTGAGCTGATTTAAGCAAAAGAAATGTTGTTACTGATGAGCAAGAAAACCAGGCCTACAGACCCCCAGAGCACAGATGTTGTAACATTTCCCAGAAAGGACCAGTAACTAGGTCTTGAGAAGCCATTATAAAGTGTTTCAACTTTTTTTTTTTTTTTTGGAAAGATTTTTGCTGTGGGGCGTGTGTGCTCACTGGAGAGACAGAGAGACAGAAAGCAAGAAATCACCCCCCGGGGGGATGGCCACATTTCAATCCTTTCTCCATTCTCCTCTTGGAATTTTGGGCACACATGCACACGTGCCCAGTGTGAGTTTCAAGCCATTGGATGTGGGACTCAAACTGTGATTGGCCATGTGGGAGTCCAGCAGTGTAACCATTACGCTATCCAGTGGTCCCTAACCTTTTTTTCCCCTTAGATATGTGATAGAGTGTGTGCACATGTGCAAGGGATAGAGCGATGCACTGTATGAACTGCAAGATGAGTCACAAGACCCTCCTTAGGGTCCCCTTTCTCCAGTTCTCTAGCCCCTCAGATCCCAGGCACTCGTATGCATGCCTGGCATGTTTCAGGCTGACCAGGTCAGGGACTGGAACCTCTGTCACCATCTGGCTTCTCCTAAGCAGCACATTACAGAACTGGCCCACTGTTAGGAACTTTATATATTTTTCTTGTCTCTTTGTTTCTCCCAGCATTTCTGCTTTGTTCTTTTTTTCTTTCACCCAGTTTTCCTGATAAAATGGGATAGAAAATGACTACCTTCACAACATCCCAGTTTATACAGCTCCTCCATCAAGAAACCAGCCTAGTCTGGTTTCAGAATCTATTTTGAATTCTGTATGTCTAGGGTTCAGTACCGTTAAGGAGGGTATGGCTAAATGACGCCAGAGGCAGGACAACACACCTTGGAATTTAGAGAACACATTCATCAGACCACACACCTATCTAACGACCTCCTTTGAGCGGCAAGGAAGAGGTTAGGCGCTTTTGCCGTTTTCCCTACGGTCATTCATTCAGGGGGCATAAATCCAAGGTCTTCTAGAAGCATGGCATTTCTGCTTTTCCCAGCAAGGATGTCTAATGTAAAAGTTCCCATCGTGACTCTCAACTACAGGGAATTATGTGCTTCCTGCAGCCTGAAAGAATGCACGAACTAGAAGAGCCATGGTCTTTTAGGACCCTGGTATGTGGGAGTAAGCCCCTATGGAGAGCCGATGAGTCTGACCTTGTGTTTCTATCCATTTGCACTGGATAGAGCGCTACTCTGAGTCAGAGCACAGCTGTCGCACCACGTCTGTATTCCCAGATGCCGAAACCCTAAGATCCCAGATACTTGGGAATACAACTTAGAGCCCCCAGGGTTGTGCTCGGGTTTCAGCACCCCCGCAGCTCACCTGATGCAGTGCAGTCAGTGGTCTGTAGGTGGCCTCCAACTGTGCACAGAAAAGGGCAAAGCAGTGCAAACATGCCCAGTACCTACACAAAAGGGGTTGGTGCATTTCCTATGAGATGGTATCATACTTAATAGAGAGACATGATATAGTCTAGGTAATTGTAGCACTAGTCACTTAACTGCCTGACACTTCTTTTTAAGCACAGGCTTTACAGGTTTTAATTTTGGATTTGAATGTTTATTTTATTTTATTGATATTTTATTTTTGTTTATGCTATAGGGCATGTATGCTTACCAGAGAGAGACAGAAAGAGAGAGAGGGAAAGTGAGAAAACATTCCACAGAGGGGATGGCTACACCACAGTCCCTTCTCCTCCGTCCTCCTTTTGGGATTTTGGGTATGCATGCACACATGTGTGATGTCTTATTTCTAAGCCACCACGTCTGGGACTTGAACTACACAGTTGACCATGTGAGACCCAGCTGCCTGAACCAATACCATACCACTGTCTGGCCTGGGCTTATTAAAACAACTTTATCAGGACCAGCAGTTAGCGTAATGGCTATGTCACTGGACTCCCATGTAGTCGACCGCTGTTCAAGTCTTGGACCCGGTGGCTTTAACTCATGCTGGGCGCATGTGCATGCATGCCCAAGATCCCGAGAGGAGAATGGAGGGGAAGGGATTGCAGCATGGCCATCCCCCCAGGGGGTGATTTCTCACTTTCTGTCTCTCTGTCTCTGTCTTTCTGGCAAGTGCATGTGCCCTATAGCAAAACCCTCTCAAAAAACAAAAACAAAAAACTGTCATCTCTCTCTCTTCCCCGCCCCCGCCGCATGTGCACTAGCCAATCCATTCTCCTCAGGATTTGGGGCATGCACACGCCCCTGGCATGTTTTTAAAACTGCCTTGTCCAGGACTCGAACCATGCAGCTGGCCATGGGAGACCCAGTCACCTTAAGGCCCTTGTCATGTTGTTATTCTGCTCAAAAATCCTTCCTGGCAGTCTTTCACTGTCTGTTTCTTAGATCTGTTACAAGCCTCTCCTCCTCAGTCTGGCTGGGCTGTTTTACTGTCTTTTGTTCATACTTTTGGCATTTTCCCACAAGACTGTTTCCGTCTGCAGTATCCCTCCTGCCCCCTCTCCCCAAGGCCCATGCCCTTGACAACACTATTTCCCACGGGAGCACTTCTCCTTGCCCTTGGTAACCTTTATTGTATTTCCCATCCACTTGGCAGTTGTATTACTTTGTGGCATTTGTTCTGTTATTAATTGCTATTTGGCTTCCTTGTTTATGTTACAAGTTTTTGCAGGCACCAGTTTTGGCTCACATTTTCTTTTTATTCCTTTTTCCTCCTCTTTTTTTGCACTAGAAAGCATGCGTGCTCGCCAAAGAGAAACAGAAAGAGGGAGAGGAGAAAGCATGCCCTATGGGAATGGTCACATCCCAGTCTCTTCTCTTCCATCTCTCCCTCCTTTCAGGATGTTGGGCATGCACGCAAAGACTCCCGGTGTGTTTCTCAAGTCTTCCAGTCCAGAACGTGAGCCACAGGGTTGGCCATGTGGGGTCTGGCTGCCTAAAAGACCAGGCCACAGAGCCAGCCCTTGTATTTTCTCCCAGCCTGCGTTGTGCCACTCAGTATAGTGGCCACTCGGCACGTGTGTATTGAGCACTTAAAAGGTGGCTTGTCCAATTGAGATGTGCTGTGAGCACAAAATAACCACCAAATTTCAAAGATGGAGTCCAAAAGAATGAATGAATGAATTCTTATATTGATTAAATGCTGAAAAGGTGTAATTTTGGGGGTATACTTGGTTGAATAAAGCACATTATTAACATTAATCTCACCTGTTTTCTTGGTTCTTTTTTCACAAGGCTTGTAAGGGTTTTTCAGTGATACCTGTGGCTCCCAGTGTAGCTGGCTTTATATTCCTGGGGGTCCACACTGGTCTGCAATGCCTGATTCTATGACCCACACACAAGATAAGCTCCAAACTCCTCAATACACAGATCAAGGTATAGATGAATGGCAATACAAAACAAAAAACAAAACAAAAAAAACCATACAACAATAACAACAAACATAAAACCATTTTATCTGAGCAATTTTCACCTATCTGAACAATTTTCACCTATCTCACCCTTTCTTGTTGGTAGGGAAAAAAAAACTGCTAATTTGTATCCCCACTAGTTAGGACCTCAATCCAGGAAACAAAAATTAGTTAAAAAAAAAAAACCTCAAGTCGGGGCCAGCAGATGGTGTGGTGGTTAAGGTGCTGGATTCCCCTGTGGCCAACAATGGATTGAGCCTTAGATACAGTGGCTTGAAAATCAGGGCACTAGCAGTTGGCATAATGGCTATGTCACTGGACTCCCATGTAGTTGACTGCGGTTCAAGACTTGGACTCGGCGGCTTAATTCTTGCTGGGTGCGTGTACAGGTGTGCCCAAGATCCCGAGAGGAGAACGGAAAAAAGAAAGGGTTGTGGTGTGGCCATCCCCCTGGGGGTGATTTCTTGCTTTCTGTCTCTCTGTCTCTCTCTATCTTTGTGGTGAGCACACGCACCCTATAGCAAAAACCTCTCCAAGAAAAGAAAAGAAAAGAAAATCATGTCACGGACTTGTGTGTTCATGCATAAAATCCTGGGAGGAGACTGGAGGAAAAGGGATTGGAGCGTAGCCATCCCTCCCTGCTGAGTGGTTTCTCTCTTTGCCTCTCTTTTTCTCTGTATTTGGCGAACACACACGCCCTATAGCAAAAACTAAAAAATAAATAAATAAATAAGCCAGCTCCAAATGCAGTCTTCTGACATTGTGAAATGAAAGACCAGACAGAAGGAAAGAGTTGAATAGTGAAAGGGACTTTTAGGGTCCACTTACTCAGTTGACCTCATCTATATCTAAAGATTTTCCCATTAAATTTTTGTGTGAGAACTAAAATTTGAAGGGACTGGATGGTGATACAAGAGTAAAACTGACTGTGGGTCAGTCTGTGAGTCTGACCTACATGGGAAGGTCCTGGGTTCCCGTGTGGAGACCCTCCTGAGTATGCTAGCAAGCATGTGCCCATGATCCAAAGCTGGCCAAGGGCTGGGGTAGATAGCGACATCAAGACACTGTTGGAGATTCTTTCTGTCGTTCTTACTCATGGAAGAAATAAATAAACTTAGAAAACAAAACAAACAAACAAACAAAACACTAAAATTTGAGAGAAAAAATCCAGACCAGCCACTTAGCCTAGTGGTTAAGGGAGCCAGAACCCACCTGATGGACTGTGGATGGAATTACAGGCCCGGGAAGCTTGAAAAACTTGCCAAGCATGTGAGCATGAATGCCTAAAATCCCATCAAGATGGCAAAATGGAGGAGTTGTGGTGTGACCATGCCTCACTGGGGGCTGCTTTCTCCCCACTCTGCCTCCCCTGACCCCCCCCCATCTCTGTCTTTCTCTGGCCAGCATATGCACCCTCTAGCAATAATAAATAATTTTTTCTTTAAAAAGGGTTTTTTTTTTTTTTAAACTACATAATACTGAAGGAAAAAGATAAGCATTGCAATGGGGGAAAAAATTTAATGAATGCCTGTGTCCAAATTAGTAATAAATTGGAACCAGCAGTTGGCGTAATGGCTATGTCACTGGACTCCCATGTAGTTCAACTGCAGTTCAAGTCTCAGACCTGGTGGCTTAAACTTACACCGGGTACGTGTGCGTGCGTGCGTGCGTGCCCAAGACCTCAAGAGGAGAATGGAGGAAAAGGGACTATGGTGTGGCCGTCTTCCTGGGCTGGGGGTGATTTCTTGCTTTCTGTCTCTCTGTCTCTCTCTGTCCTTCTGGCGAGCACACATGCCCTATAGCAAAAAGTTCTCCCCCCCAAAAAAAAATTAGTAATAAATTAACATGTTAGAGAATTTTGCCTCTTGCTAACACACCAGTAGGGATCTTTCCAACATCTGGCTCTTTTCCTTCCTCTCTCTGCCTCTTCCCTTTTTTTCCTACCTCTCCTTCCCCTAGTTTTCCTTTCTTCCCTTCCATTCCTTAGTTTTTTTCTTCCTTTATAATCTTCCTACTAATTATAATACTGAATTAAAGGTCATTTAATTAAAGTCCATTGCTTCTAGAATTTTTTTTAATACAGTATGGCATAGTGATCTAACCTTTTTCTTTTTGTTTTATAGATAGCAAACCAAAGCACTATTTCTTGAATTCATCATTATTTTCTATTTGATTTGTAACAACAGTGATGATCATTATTATTAAGAGCTACCTATGGACAAAGCAGATGTTTTGAGAGCTTTGCTTTTATTTAAATTCCTGGTTATGTCTTTTGAATAAGGATTTACCTGATTTTAAGGCATATTTTTAATGACTTCACTAATTTTTTTTCTTTTCTTTCATTAACCCATTTTTAAAATATAAGCTGTTTCTGCTTGTATCCCCCAATCTTTTTCCTCTCTAGGAGTTGAGACTCTCTCATAAAAAATAAGTGCCTTGCCTTCTACTTTAAGACTGGAAGAGAATAGGGACCAGCAGGTGGCATGTTGGTTAAGGCTCTGGACACTCCCATGTGGTCGACCACAGTTCTAGTCCTGGACCTGGTGGCTTGCTTTCTCACTTTCCCTCCCTTTCTCTCTCTCTCTCTGGTCAAATTAAAATAAGTGAATGAATAAATAAAATTAAATAAATAATTCTTAAAAAAGAAAAAAAAAAAGACGACTGGAGGAAGAGTTAGTGAGACCAAAAAATTCCCCTTTTCTATGTCTCACCAGGAATATTACTTACAGGTGTCTTTCAGGTTGCAGAAAAGATGGTAAAAAGGACCTGTGCGCTCTGCCCCAAAGATGTCGAGTATAGTGTCCTGTACTTTGCACAGTCAGAGAATATGGCTGCTCACGAAAATTGTTTGGTAAGTTGCTTGAAAGTACACGCGTACCGTTAGGGTAGGGCATAGCAGAAAAGGTCATTGGTACCTTGGATACAAAGGATAATGAGTAGGCAGTGTGTTTGGGCCTATAAGTGGGATTGGAGAGTGTCCTTTGCTAACTTAAACCTAGTTTGTATTTTATCATCTTATGATGACTTTTAATGGGTCAGACACACAAAAAGAAAGAATTACGGTAAAGCTGCTTTGACGATATTTTAATACAATATTTCAAATATATCAGACCCCATAAACCTAGATATCATTTTTATCAAATTTTATAGATTTTTGAGACTTATCTATGTCGGTAAACACAGTTCTAAATCTTGCATTTTAAATATATTCTAGCGTTCCATTTCATGACTACATCACCATTTAACAATTCTTGTCCCAAAAATGGGTGTTTACGTTTTTCCTGTTTTTTCCTATGACTGACAAGCTGTCATGAACATTCTTGTGACAATTTCTCTGGCCCAGGGTATAGCTAAGAGCAGAATTGCTGGGGCTCAGGGAAGGGGCATTTTGAATTTCCCTAAATTTGCCAAATTGTTCTCCAAAGAGATTGTACCAAGTTTGACTGCCACTGTTGTTTCAGAGAACAATTCTCCTCATCCTCACCAACACTTAATTTTACGAGATTTTAATTTTTTCCTCTCTGATGGGTATGAAATGGTGTCTTTTTTTCATTTGCATTTCCCCAATTTCTAGAGGGGCTGCATACCATTTAATGTGCTTATGCACCATTCTGACTTGTTTTGTGAATTGTATGTTCACAGGCTTTACATTTATCTTTGAGATGTTTGTTTTTGTTTATATGTATGTATTTGCATAGAGATTCTAATGCTGTATTGTATATATATGTCTTTTTATTTATGATATTTTCTGTCAGACACCTTGTATTAGAGGCAGTTCATTTCTATTTTGCTTTTTTTGCTAACCATATTAACTCTATTAATGCTGTTCTTTTTATTTACATATTTATTCATCTAATTTTCTTTTCCTTAGAGAGATTTTTGCTATAGAGTGCATGTACTCACTGGAGAGACAGCGAGACAGAAAGCAAGAAATCACCTCCCAGGGGCGATGGCTATGCCACAGTTCATTCTCTTCCATTCTCCTCTCGGGATTTTGGGCACACACATGCGTGCGCATGCACACCCACATGCACTTGGCCAACGTGAGTTTCAAGCCTCCGGGACCAAGACTCGAACTGTGGTGGTCAGCCATGTGGGAGTCCAGCGACATAACAGTTATGCCATCTGCTGGTATTTATTTCATATGTCCCATAATTGTACATCTCTATAGTGCACAATGTGGTTTTTCAAAGTATGCATGCTGTACGTTGACAGTCAAATCAAGGATTCATCTGTACACATTATTTTCGACAGAGCACTGTACATTCTTTTTGTCTCTTGAGTTTTTTCCCTGAGCCCTCCCACTCACCCTCTATTATCGACCCCCATCCCACACTGTCTCTGGTGTCTACATCTTCAGATCTTTCTATTTCTGCCATGGAGTGCAGACATTCAGTATATATTGAGTTGAGACCTAATGTGTAGGTATTTTCCTCTCCTAAGAAATTGTTTTCTGCTCTAAGAGTCTATCTTCTTTTCCAAAAGTTTAAAATTCTTGCTTTTCTCATTTAGTTTCTTAGTTCAGCTGAAATTTTACTATTGTGTAGACTAATGAGATCCAGCCCTGCTGCCCATCCCACCACCTGGGCTTATGCTTTGCAGATCTCTGATCTCCTCTCAGTAACACCAAGGCCTTTGAGGACTACCTTGATTCACATCTCAGGGTCTGGGAGCCTTCCATGGGGAATGGTTGTCTACATACTATCTCCAAACTAATGATGAAACAATGGAGACACAGGGATTGAGGCACTGTCCCAAGGTCCCAACGTTTGTAAGGGACTGAACCAGGATGCTTACAAAAGCAGTCTACTTCTAGAAACCTCATGCCTCCCCTAGGATGCTGACAGTGTCCTGTGTCACATGTGTACACTCTGTTTCTGATTCTGTCTCTGAGCTGGTACACCAACAGATTCACTGCTAGAGCTTTATAAGATTTGGCTATTGACGGAACCAGCAGTTGGTGTAATGGCTGTCGCTGGACTCCCATGTAGTCAACTGCGGTTTGATTCCCAGACCTAGTGGCTTAAACTCATGCTGGGCACGTGTGCGTGCATGCTTAAGATCTCTAGAAGGGATTGTGGTGTGACCATCCCCCCTGGGGAGTGATTTCTCGCTTTCTGTGTCTCTGTCTCTCTGTCTTTCTGGCAAGTGCACATGCCCTATAGCAAGAACCTCTCAAAAAAAAAGAACAAAAAAAAAGATTTGGTTGTTGTTTGGCACTTTGTATTTAGGGATTAGCTTTTCATATTTCACAGAAATCCTATTGGCATTGAATTTATAGATGAATTTAAGAAAAAATAGACACCTCCATAAGGTGTCTTTCCATCCATTAATAGGGTCTGGTTTTATTTAGTTGTTTTGTAAATTTCAAAGTTGTTCAAAACGTGTTTTCAGTAGAGATTTAGAAGTTTGTATTGGGCTTATTCCTGTGTTTGTTTTTTTTTAATTTTGTTTCTTTTTTAAATTTTGCTGCAGGACACATGTGCTCACCAGAGGAGGAGGGGAGGGAGGAAGCACCCCCCCACATTCTCACACCATGAGGGATGGTCATGCTCAATCCCTCCTCCTTTTCTCCTTTCAGGATTTTGGATTCACATGCACACATGTCCAATATGTTTTTGCAACTGTCAAATCTGGGACTTGAGTCATAGTTGCCCATGTGAGATTCCAACCACTTTAACTACCACATCATTCACTGGCTCACTATTTTTTCCTAATACCTTTTTTTTTAGACAGAATTTTTTGCTTGAGGGTTTGTGCACTCATCAGAGAGAGCCAGAGAGAGAGAAAGTGAAAAATCAATTCCCCAGGGGGGATAGCTATGCTGCAATCCCTTCTCCTCCATTCTCCTCTCAGAATTTTGGGCACACACACACATGCATCTAGCATGAGTTTCAAGCTGCTGGATCTGGAACTCAAACCATGGTCAGCCATGTGGGAGTCCATTGTCCTTAACCACCACGCCACCTGCCAGCCCCATACTGTCTCAAGGTTTTTCCTTTCAGTCTCTTAATAATGTGTTATATATTTACATTTATAATACATTATATATTTACAATAACATATTATTAAGAGATGTTTTATTCTAATAAACTGATGATGTTGATTTGCTACTATTTTAATTAACTTTATTGGTACAATTTATGTAAAACAAAATGCACCTGCATTGGGCTAGCTGGTGGCATGATGGTTAAGGCAGCTGGATCCCACATGGCCAACTGCATGATTCGAGTGCTGGACCTAGAGACTTGAAAAGTATTCCAGGTGCGTGTGCATGCATACCCAAACACCACAAGAAGAGAATGAAGAAGAAAGAATTACAGAGGCAAAAAATCATGTGCTTATTCACCATTCATAAATCTTTTTTTATGAAGTATGTCTTGACATGTTTTGCCCATTTTTAATTGAATTGTGTTATTATTTAGTTGTGTTTTCCATACCCTGGATACAAATCTTTTGTCAGATACACATATTGTGAATATTTTCTCCTAGTCTCTGGCTCATCTTTTTTTTTTTTTTTTTAACTGTATTTCAAAGAGCAGAAAGTTTTAGGGAAACCAGCAGTTAGCGTAATGGCTATGTTGCTGGACTCCCACGTAGTCAACCGTGG